GGACCATGGACCTCTATGAGCGGTGGACTGGGACTCCTTGCACTCAGCTTTTTCAATGTATGAAAAAAATCCCTTCGAGTTTTTATGAACATTTTCTTCTACTAGTATAGGTAGTACTTTTATTAATAAGTATGTGTATCTGTATGTATAGACAGAAGACAGGTTGTGAAATTAAAGCTTTGCCTGAAATTTATTTTGTGTGTATTGAATACGTACTGATTTTCTCTGCTTGCTGACTTTACAAGACACTTTTACATTTAATAGTAATACTATTTAATCAGATTTAACTGATCAGATTGCAGTACCTTTGAAATGGGGCAAAAAAGCATATTCATGTGTGCATGAGGTTATAATCTTAACAACCAGTTCTATATTATAAAATGAAAACTCATATTCTGTTAATTTTGTTGATTTAGAAGAAACACAATTTAAAGGAGATTTTCAAAACCAGATATTATATTGCTTTTGAATCTTCTCTGGTTTTGAACCTACCCAGATATAAACTAATCTGAATGATTTCAAAGTTTACCTAAAACTTTTAGTATCTATTGAACACAGAATGTGATTAATTCTACGTAGGTTTCTTTTCTCTTTTTCTTTTCCTTTTCAAATCAGATTTGATGGTACCAAATAGTCTTCATCTGAAATAATTATTATTTGAAATAGTCTCTCTTTGTGGTTATCAACCAGTGGCAATTTTACCACCCCTTCCTCCCCAGGGGCTGGGGACACTTGGCAACATGCGTAGGCATTTTAAGTTGTCACACTTGGGAGGGTGGGGTGCACCTGTTGTCTTGTGGGTCAAGGCCAGGAAAACAGCTGAAGAGCCTACAGTATGCAGGACAACATTTGCAAAGAGTTATTCAGCCCCTAATATCAATAGAGCCAAGATTGAGAAACCCTTTAGGAAATTAGTTTTCTCTTATGAATATGAGGAAATGAGCCCATGAACGTGTTAATGAATCAAGTACAAAATGTAACCTAAAGCATAAATGGAAGCGTTTAGTCCTGTATCTATCCTCGCTCTAGAATTCCCAACTGTATCTTGGTTCTCTATGCATTTTCCTAGGGTCTGAAATTTAGACATGGCTCTCTGGCCCAACAGCAAACAGACTGCTCCTCCAATGGGAATTCTCTCTCTCTGGCTCTCTTCCCTTTGATGTACTTCTCTGCTGTGATCCACCAAGTGCTTGGGCCTGTCTTTAAGAGCTTAGGTGTTTCTATGTTCCCCATTTTTTTTCCTTTCTCCTCTGTGGTATGACGTGGCCCCCCAAACCCGAACATCTTGCTTACATTTCTCAAACTGAGAAGAAATTACTCATTTTCCTCCCAGATTCATTAGTATCTTTTCTAATTTTTCCAAAACCCTATAGTGTGCTCCTGTCTCAACCGGAAGCTATATTACTGGAATGCTGTAGTGTTACATTGTATATAAGGATTCCAGAAATCTTCAAAACAGCAACCTAAATTCCTATATTCCAGATAGCTATCTTGCATGACAATGAGCTTTACTTGTCTCAGGAGTTCTAGCATTACTCCTGCCGACACCAATGGGCAGACCCAGTCTGTAAATACCAACTCTCCTACATACACTCTGGATGCACAGCAACCCTCTCAAGTCTCACTTTTGTCTAGGTCCTTGGCAACCTTCTTTCTTTTCTTCTGAGGATCCTAAATGTTGGTCAGCTTTCTAATGACCTTGACGGTCTAGAGACTGTTTCCAATATAGGTTTCCTTCACTGAGTTGGAAATTGTGGGAAGTTGTTAAATAGGTTTCTAACCAAGTGAGTTAATCTCAAGATCATTCGAGGCAAATAGCTTTCTGTTTCATTTTTTAGTCATTTTTCCCCCTTTTTAGCAATAGATTCACGAATTCTTATCCACCCATTTGCTAGGGCAATCTCAGATGGAATACAAATGACCTGCATTTTCCTCATAATAACTCCTTAGGTACCTCCAAGCACAACTCACTAAATTGATTATTCCTCGATGTTACCTTCCCTAGGTGTGTCAGTGTCGCACTATTTTTATAAAATATCCAGAAAAATTGTAGAGAGGTTGCTAATTTTCCACTTATTTTGTTAGGAAGGACCAAAATAGGTAACCCTTTTTTAAATTATGCTTTAATAATCATTCTCTTTAAAATACCATTAATCTTTGATAAGTATCTAACTTTCTCTATCTCTCTCTTTTTCCACATTTCAGTGACTGCCTCCTATTTCCTGCTTATTCTTCATTGCTATTTCTCCATGCTGTTGCAAAATAATTAATAGCATTCAAAGAGGAGGAAAGAGTGAATGAACATAAAAAATAAAGAAAAAGTAAAAGACAGCAAAGACTTCCTAGAAATGAAGAAAGGCAAGAACCAATTCTAATTGTAGAAAGGAAAGGAGCTAATAAATATCAATGTCTATAAATTAAAAAAAAAAAACAACTAGGAAATGCTGCTACAGTGTGCTTTACAAAGAACTCGGGATAAGGTGTGCAAAGAAAGGGTTTGAGGAAGGTATGTGACAAAAAGAAACCACACCAAACCTTATGGGATGTAGCAAAAGTAGTGCTTAGAGGGAAATTAGAGATGAAAATGCCTTTATTGGAGAAGAAGAAATTTCTCAAATCAATAATCTAGCTTCCCACCTTAAGGAGCTAGAAGGAGAAGAGCAAACTAAACCCAAAACAAACACAAAGAACAGAGCAGAAACCAATGAAGTCAAAAGTTGGTTCTCCAGAAAGATCAACAAAACTGATAAACCTTTAGCTAGGTGGAGCGAGAAAACAAATAAGAGAAGACTCAAATTACTGAAATCAGGAATGAAAGAGGGACATCACCACCAACCTTACAGAAATTAAAAGGATAATAAGAGAAGGTATGTGAGCATCTCATAGCACTGCCCTTTGCTGGGTACTGTTTTGTTGTTTGGCTCCCCTGAATAGGACACAGTGCATGTGAGGGATGCAAAATGCCGTGGGGAATGGCACTAAATTATGCCTGAGCTGAGGTCCATGGATGATCTCTAATTTCACCTCCTGTGAAAGTACTCTCATCAGCTAGGTCACTAGGCCTCAAAGAGAGGAAGAGATGGGTCCTGTTGCTCCCCAAAGGGTGCTTCCTGCCCCATCTTGTGTCACTTTACACTTTTCTGGGGTTATCACCAGTAAACCCAGGAAGAATGTTTCCCAGACATTTGAAGAGTTCTCCTTCCTAATTTTGGTCTTACATTTGCTTTTTGGGAGAAAACAATGTAATGATTTGTAGCAAACCTACAGAGTGGTGTATCCGTTAGGACCATCCAATTTGAGAACATTTCCATCACCCCAGTTATTCCATATATCTTATGACCACTCTGCTTTCTAATTTACAATCTTCTGTTTCCCTTCTGCCTGTTTCTTGCTGACTGTACTTCCCCCTGTCATCCACACATCTGCCCCACCCGACCCCACCTTTTTCTTCGCTCTTGCTGAGGTTACCAGTGATGTTTCAATTAACAAACCCAACAGATACTTTGCAGTCTATTTCTTTAGTTCCTGGTTTCATTGAGAATCTTCTAAGTGCCACACACTGTGCCAGGTGCTCAGAATGGAAAGAGGAAGAAAGGATGGTCGCCACCTTTAAGGAGCTAATACTGTGGTGGGGAGACAGACCCATGAACAGACAGCGCTAATGCAGAGTGCCAAGCGCTGCGAGGGAAGTGTTCAGGTGGGGTCCGGTGGGAGAAGGCTTCCTGGAGGGGGTGACACCTGTGCTGTCTGCATGGAGGGGGAGGTTCAAGGCAGTGCAATGCTTGTGTTTGGTACTACTGTGTGTAAGTGCAAGAAGGAAATGGCAGCCAAGTGAGGCCTGAGGTAGGCAGGAGCTAATACACAGCCAGTTCTGCAGACCTTGCCCAGAGAGGGGTAATGTGGGTGCAGCTTACCTGCGTACTCTTGCTCTGGGTCTCGAGCTGGGCTGTGATGGAGGTGTCAGCTGTGGTTGGGGTTTCATCTCAAGACTCCTCTGGCGAAGGATCCTCATCCAAATTCACTCACGTGGCTGTTGGCAGAATTCAGTTTCTCTCAGGGTCTTGGTTTCTTTGCTGGCTGTTGGCAAGAGGCCACTCCCTTTTCCTTGCCCAGTGGGCCTCTCCGTAGGGCAGCTCACAACATGGCAGCCGGCTTCGTCAGAGAGAGCAAGCAAGATGACAACCAGCATCTTTTTGTAACCTAATCTCAAAACTCATATCGCATGACTTTTACCCTTAGAAGCAAGTCACAAGGTCCAGCTCACACTCAGGGGAGGGCATTACACAAGGGTGTGAATACCAAGAGATAGGGTTCATTGGGAGTCTTCTTAGAAACTGCCAGGATACATGGCCAATGGCACAAAGCCAATGAATTCAAACTGAGGTCCCTTTCCTGTAAAGTGCATGCCCTTAGCCCCATTATATAGGAGAATACCTCCCTGTCTCACTTCTCCCCTATGTACAATTTATGTGGATCCAGTGCATGTAGAGACTTCATGATTTTTCTAGTTAGAAGTGCCCAAATCAGATGCCTGGGCATCTCACTTCTCTCCCAGGGATCACAAATGGAGAGGTGCCTATAGTGCCATAGAAGTAATGAGCATGAGCCAGGCTGGGAGAATCTGAGACAAATGGCAGTGATGGCGACTGAGAAACTGGCAGGACCATTGAAAGGTGGTGGCCGTTTCTCCCATCTAGCCTGTTGTTGCCTGGTGGGAGCATGTACCCCACATTCTCATTCTCCATGTGCCTCCATGTGCCTTCTCATTCTCCAGTTAGAAATGTAGACTTTTATGGGAAATTGTCTAGCTTTAAATGTTGGCAATGAACTTTAAGATGTATTTAGTATTGTGTGGGTGAATCAAAACACACCTGAAGACCAGTTCTGCCCCCTTCCCCCTGCAGCCACCCACTGGTAACAGCTCCTCTCTGCCTTGCTCATTATCTTTGGAGGAGACACACAGTAAGTTTCCAGAATATGTTGCCAGTGTTTTTCTGGAGATAGGAGAGAAAAGCTAGCTTTCCCCTCTGCCTTGGTCACTTAACATGGGACGAGAACTTCAATTTCATTCAACAGATTAGATTGGATTTTGCCAAAGTCAAGCTCCCAATATGGAGCTGGCATAGAAAAGCAAGGTTTTGGAAAATATTTTATTTTTATTTCAGTATGCTTTAGTACCATCCTCCTGTTATTTTAGTGAATCAGGTGGTATTAGTCTCTGTACCTCCCCTGCCCCTTAAAGAAAAGTGGTCATTGGTGTCTTTGCTCACCTCTTTCAAAACATTTTTTTTAGAGGAAGAAATTATGTAAAGTATTTTCAAAAGGCAATAAGATACATAGCAGACCACTGCATGACATATCCAATGTATTTAGTCCTGGGATTGTTGTAATTGCACATAAAATTCAACTAATGATGCAGTAAACTCTAAAGATCACTAAGGTAGTTGAGATAGATGGGTTTTATGCTCTTATATTGGTTTAACCATGAACAGACATCTCCAGGGTTGGATTAGATGGAAGAAATGAGGAACTAATTAATATGTGTTAGCAAACTCAAGAAGAAAAATCAGTACAACCCAAAGTCTGAGGAAAGATGATTTTAAAATCTTGTTTTATCTGGATATTTTGCATTTCAAGTATTATTTCACTAGTTCAGAAAACACTAGCCAAACAAAAGGTATTTATTATCCAACATGGTAACGACAGTGGTACAGTGTGGATGACTCACATCGTTCACTCTGTCCAAAGGGACATGGGTGATAAGTTTTCACTTGCAAATTTCCTATTTTATTTCAATGGAAGGGGAAAAAAAACAGTAGTATCTTCCAAAATTGAAATGCAAGAGGCACCTGGCTGGCACATGATGGCACATGGTACAGCACATGACTCTTGATCTCAGGGTCATGAGTTTGGGTCCCACATTGGGTGTAGAGTTTACTTTAAAAAAAGTATATCAGTGCATAAAAAAGAAAGAATATCTTTTGTCCCCATACTTCAGTTTTATGAGATTGGGTTGGATAAATATGCTAAGAGAAATTTGCATTTTACTGCACATTTAAAAAGTAGGCGCAGTAACTCAAGGTCAAGAGCATGTTCTAGGAGGAGGCGAACGCCCTCATCTTCTAGGCACAGGCAGTCAGGAAGCAGATCGAGAAGGAGATCATATTCTAAGTCAAGGAGTAGGGGATGATCCAAACGTCCAAGACAGAGAAGATCTCATTTCAGAGAGAGAGGTAGAAGGTCAAGGAGTACATCAAAAACCAGGGCAAAAAGAAAGAAGACAAAGAAAAGGAGTGTTCCAAAACACCACCAAAAAGTTATAGCACAGCCATAGATTCCAGAAATGCAAGCAGAGACAGACAACCCCAATGAAGTAGGCGTGGCACAAGATCTCCTACAAAGCCTAGGTCACCTAAAAGAAAAATGTCTAGTTATATCCCCTAGGAGATATAAAAAGGAGAAGAAAGGTAAAGAAAGAAGCAGAGATGAAAGAGAATGACCAACAAGCAAGAAGAAGAAAAGTAAAGATAAGGAAAAGAATCAGAAAACGAAATCAGAGAGTGATAAAGATGTAAAATTAATAATGAAGAGGAACAAGGGAATGACAGTAAGAAAGAGAAAAAAGAGAAGAAACCAACAGAACCAAGTTCCCCTAAAACAAAAGGATGTTTTGTGGAAAAGGGAACTGGTGATTCACTAAAAGAATCCAAAGTGAATGGGAATGATCATCATGGAGAAGACATGTTTATGAGTGACTGAATATTGCCACCATGGGAATCCAGCTGCATATATGCACGAGTGTCATTCCTTTGTGTGATTTCTTAATGCTGTTTTTGTTCCTACCAAACCTAGATGTTTACAGTTCTGAGTTATAAATGGATACAAAGCTTCTAATATTGATACTAGTTGTTTACATCCAAAACCATTTAGAAAATGATACAGGAGTAACCAATTCTTTAAAAAAAATTTTTTTTCAATGTTTATTTATTTTTCACAGAGAGAGAGAGAGAGAGAGAGAGAGAGAGTGCGCGAGCATGAGCGGGGGAGGGGCAGAGAGAGAAGGAGACACAGAATCCAAAGCAGGCTCCAGGCTCTGAGCTGTCAGCACAGAGCCCAACATGGGGCTCGAACTCACAGACTGCGACATCATAACCTGAGCCGAAGTCGGACGCTCAACTGACTGAGCCACCCAGGCACCCCTGGGAGTAACCAATCTTGACATGGTGAAATCTGTCAAGCAGTTTTAAAAGTATTCTGGTGCTGCTTTAAAACAAAAACGAAAAGCTGCATACATCACAGCACCCATGGATAGTTTATGTTATATGATCTCCTTTATTAAGTAAGTTCACTTATAGTATTTCTAGAATTTGATTCCTTGCTATAATGCAGCTATGTAGGGAATGCACTGATTGCATGTTAATTGTGGCAGGAATATCCTAAATGTCATTAAAACCCTCCAACATGATGGATCTACTTATGGTCTTATCTGTTGACATGACAAATTAACATTCTTTTTAAAAAATTTTTTGTTAATGTTTATTTATTTTTGAGAGAGAGTCACAGCATGAGCAGGGAAGGGGCCTGAAGCAGGCTCCAGGCTCCAAACTGTCAGCACAGAGCCTGACACGGGGCTTGAACTCATGAACTGTGAGATCATGACCTGAGCTGAACTCAGACACTCGACTGACTGAGCCACCCAGGCGCCCCAACATTCTTATTATTACATCTGAAAATGAAAATTTGACATAAATCACCCTTTAAGGCTTTTAGCTAAACTTTTGTGGCTTTTGTTTAACTTTGAAAGGTTCTATCTGCACTAACCTTTTTTGATGACTGACTAGGCTTTAATTACAGAAACAAGATTTGAAATGAAATTGTCTTTGGTAGTGAGCAAATAACGTATTTTGAAGTAGAGTTGTATACTTTTTTCATAAGGTGTTTGGGAATTTTTTTCCCTGAAATAATTTATTCCACATCTACATCAGTGAAGGCTTCTGCCTATCCTGAGCCCATCTGTTAAAGAAAGTTATCTCTTGTCCTGGTTTTCAATTTTCCACTCTTTTATTAGTTTGTTTTAATCTCAGTGTTGGGAAAAGGGGGTAGGGCATTTTAAATTGACGTTCATATACTTTAAAATAAGACAAATCTACTTTTAATGTTTATTTATTTTTGAGACAGAGACAGAGTGTGAGTGGGGGAGGAGCAGAGAGAGAGGGAGACACAGAATCTGAAGCAGGCTCCAGGCTCTGAGCTGTCAGCACGGAGCCCGACACAGGGCTCGAACTCACAAACCTGATCATCACCTGAGCTGAAGTCAGACGCTTACTGACTGAGCTACCCAGGCGCCCCAAGACAAATCTACTTTTAAATAAATGTTTATTATTTTGAGAGAGAAGTGTGCATGCACATGAGCAGGGGAGGGGCAAAGAGAAAGGGAGAGAGAGGATCACAAGCAGGCTCCACACTGTCAGCACAGAGCCTGATGCAGGGCTCAATCCCAAGAAAGCCTGTGATCATGACCTGAGCCAAAGTGAAGAGTCAGACGCTTAACCGACTGAACCACCCAGGAGTCCCAAGACAAGTCTACTTGATAATGTACTTTTTATGTGACGTCCAGTATAAAACCTATCAATTTGTGTTACTGGTACTGCAGTAGTAATCTTATGCGCACAGTGATTCCAGGTTAAATGCAAAGTAGTTAGGCAACGGTTTTCTTAGTTACAGGAGTTTCAAGGTTCACTTTTGTGCAGAAAAAACTAAAGTAGGCTATAGTCTGTGTCATGTTGATGTACAGTTTCTGAAATTGTTTTATAAGACTTTGTTAATAAAACCCTTATTTCATGTTCCTGTAAAAAAAGAAGTGGGCACAGTAAATATAGAATATGAAAATAAGTCAAGAATTGGCCTTTAATGGTTGTACAGAGCTTGGAGTGTGTTAATTCTCAGTGTCTTTCAGAGTGCAAGTCTTGCCCTTATACCTGTACTGACTGCGTGGAAAATCAAGTTTATATACACGCGTATCTAATACAGTGTGCCCCATTTAAGACAGTTCACATAGAAGGTCCCCCCAAAGAGTTGGCCTTTCCCCTGCATTCCTCCATGGTATGAAAAACTGTCCCCTGAATTGTTGGATGTGCCATTTCAGTGATCGAGGGAGGACCCCTGGAACACAACTACCGACTGAAGCAATTCCATTTTCACTGGGGGGCCATTGATGCTTGGGGCTCCGAGCACACTGTGGACAGCAAATGTTACCCGGCAGAGGTATGTTGAGCAGCTTGGGAACAGCGACAGCCGTGAAGTGGGGATAATGCTGAATTTCTAAGAAATTATCATGGAAAATCCAATGATTCCTATAAATGCTAAATAGCTCTCTCGGGCATATTTGATTATTCCCAGTTTATACATGTAAAAATGATACGTGCCCTCATCTCACATAATCGAGCAGAAATGAAACTCAAGATCCTAAAACGGAATCCTTCCAGAATTCCAAGCTAGGCTCAAATTATAGCCTGAAGTTATAAGCCAGGCAACAATGCAGGGCCACCAGATTAAATTAATCCAAGTGAGAATTGGGAGGAGCCTAAATAAAGCCTGCGACAATAGAAACAGAAAAAGAGCAAGATTTAACAAGCATTTCTGAAATAAAAGCAACAGGACTTGGAGGCATGGTCCACTTCAGGAGAGGAGAGGAGCAAGTTAACCGTGACCTTGAGGGTCTTACTTGGGAGACTGGGTGATGATGCATTGGCAAATGATGGACAAGAAATAATTTGTAGGAAAGTACAGAGACCACATAAGGAAACACAATTTATTCTTACAATTTCTCCTTAATTTGGTTTTAAATGTTACCGTGAAAAGAAGCACATTTTAAGTGGTTATCCCTCAAATAAATTTATCTTCAACTCTTGTTTAATTCCCATACAGAGAAGCTATTTCTCTCAATATAAACATCTCTCCTTTAGATGCAAATGGATTTTGGATATGACGGTTTCATATCCAAAACAGCGTGGGAATGGACAAAGTTTGCTCCCTCCCTGAAATGTTACCCACTTTGCTGTATTTGTTTTCTTTTATTTTTCTCCAAATAAATCCCTCTATTCAGAAGTAATGTTAATTGCTGTTCCTGCATACATTTCTTCCTGTTATTTATTTCTATCTCATTTTGCACCAGATTGGTGTATGCTTTTCTCAGTGGCTTTATTTTGGGCAAGGAAACATTAAAATATTATGTGTTGAATAAGGCTGTCTGTTTTGGAGCAATCCTATATGCTCATGTATCAAACCATCTTTTAATGCTGTTTTAGCTGCACTTGGTACATTGGAATGCAGTCAAATTTGAAAACTTTGAGGATGCAGCACTGGAAGAAAATGGTTTGGCTGTGATAGGAGTATTTTTAAAGGTAAAAAAGTCTTACCACTTTACATGATGTGTTGTATTGTGGGGTAAAAAGATACAACATTGTCATATTAAGATCTAAGTATATTGGGATAAAAAAAACCATAATTGACTTGTGGAATCAATATGTTGTACACCCGAAACTAATGTAAAATTGTATGTCAACTCTACTTCAATTTCAGGGAAAAAAAAAAGAAAATGAACAATGGTTAAAAGAAGAGATTGCTATGAATATATTTCAAATGATATTAAAATGCACAGTCCAGGGGCGCCTGGGCGGCTCAGTCAGTTAAGTGTCCAACTCTTGATTGTGGCTCAGGTCATGATCTCATGGTCATGAGATCAAGCCCCCTGTCGGGCTGTGTGCCAAGCAGCTGAGCATGGACCCTGCTTAAGATTCTCTCCCTCTCCCTCTCTCTCTCCCTCTGCCCCTGCCACACACACTCTCTCTGAAAACAAAAATTTCCAGTCCAATAGAGTAACAAGAGTAACAAGCCACATGTGGCAAATGAGCTCTTGAAATGTGGCTACTTTGACCATGGTATGGTTTTTCATTTTAATTAATTAAAATTTCAATGTAAGAACCGGTGTTTATTATTTATTTGAGAGAGAGAGAGAGAGAGAGCATGTAAGTAGGGGAGAGGGGCAGAGGGAAAGAGAGAATCTTAAGCAATCTCCATGCTCCACATGGAACCTGACAAGGGGCTGGATCCCAGGACCCTGAGATCATGACCTCAGTGGAAATCAAGAGTTGGCTGAGGCACCCAGGCGCCCAACGAACTGATATTTAAATGGAGCTGGGGCACCTTTCCCCGCAGGCACTCTGACCCTATCAGCAAACAGCCTGCTCATTTGTTTTGTGTCTAATTTGATTCAGTGACGTTTATAGCAACCTAAATTGCCCGTTTAAGTGTAGTTTAAGTAGTGTGATTGGTTTGTTTATATGTGATCACCAGGTGGCTAATTTTAATTCATATTCTGTTCTGATTTCAAAAGTGAAGTGTCAATTGTTTTTAATATTTTCTCATTGCTTCTTCTTTAGCTAGGAAAACATCACAAAGAGCTGCAGAAATTGGTGGACACTTTGCCATCAATCAAGCATAAGGTAATTTCCCCCCCTAAATCACTTGAAATACATTTTATGTTTAATCTG